ATGACAGTGATGACCGAATGGTGTAACTTCCAGCGAAGATGCCCGTCAGCATCACACAAAAGAAACCCTCCACACACACTCACACACACACACACACATCCCTATCCCCCGACACCACATATATACCCTAAACCTAAACCCCCAATAAACGAGCCCGGCCCGAAACCTCAAATCCTGAGCCACAACTCAAAAAAATTGACGGAGGCTCCTGGACGGTCATCGGCCTCCTCTGAAGGGGCTCCAGCAGGCTCTCAACGAAGTCGAGGAGCAGTGCACCGGCCTGAAGCTGAACCAGAAAATCTGCGGCACTAAAGGCGCTTCTCAAATTCAGGGCCTATGTTAGGGTTCCCTTAAAGGGGTCTGTCTATACCGGGGACTATAAGGGATCTATAAGGGTACTATAATGTAGGAACCTGAATAATGAACCTTGGGCCTTCATTAGGGCTCCTTTTGTGAACCCTACTGTTTTGGGGCTAGAGGCCCAGGGTTTCTTGATCAGGTTCCTACATTACTGCCCCAAAGCATCAAGTCCGCCAGGTTTAAGGTTTTTTTGTTGGGTTTAGCGTGGAGGGTTTAGGGTTTTAAATTTTTGGGTTTAGCGTTCAGGGATAGTAGGGCCACTATTAAGGGCCTGATATATCTGCATTATGAATTTAACCGTATTAGTTGTCGATTTCAACAGTCCCCTGAACTACTTGCGATGAGTGCTCTATATTAATATTAAACAGTAAGGGGAAGTACCCTGAAGCTGCAGGGCTTAGGGTTTAGGAGAGTGGAGGGTGTAGGTTTGGGAAGGTTCAGGGTTTAAGCTTCGAAGTAGGACGTCCCCATTAGGGCATAGGGCTTGGAACTGTTTGTGCTAATGATAATGAGTTAAAAATGACACAACAAATAGCTATGGCATGCCAGCCACAATGATAGAACCCGAAGAAAATGATATCATCAGCAGTACTATGAAACAAAGCACGACCCGAATACTGATTCTGCCAATCAAAAAAAGAAAGAAAATCAAATGATTTAAGACACCTGAAAACTGAACCAAACCATAAACACAAACAGGGAGCCAAATAGCAAGGCCCTGAAGGAAAGGGATTGACTAAACAAAGATCGACACTACTGGGATTTCTAGTTGCCTACCCGGGCCTTACTGGAAGGTAACTACAAACAAGTTTAGCTTTATATACTGACAACCCCACTTAAGGTGCTTGCAACCGCAGTTACTAAGTCCAATGAACCTGAAAAGACGAGATCTCTGAGTCAGGTCCATACTAAACCCCCCTAATACCTCCTAGCAACCCGCCATACTAAACTCCTATAATACCCCTTGTAACCCCCCATTCTATACCCCTAAATGCCCTTGATAGTACCCTCCAGGGACGCCTTTCAATCGTGATCAGGCCAAAAAGACGCCCCAGCACACATGAATCGAGGTTCGCGTTCCGGGCTCCAGGCTTGGGTTCGTTGGTTTTAGGGTGCTGGGGTTCAGGTGTAGGGCTTAGGGTTTAGAGGGGTTGTTTCTTTTAGGGTGCTGCTTAAAAGTTCATGGGTAGTTATAAGTGGGTATGTAATTCGGGTAGCTACATTTATAACCCATATTAAGGGATACTCTAACTCGACTGAGAAACTACCCATGAACCTCCAAGAAGGGTTGAGGTCTTTGGGGTTTGCGGCTTTGGGATTTAGGGCTTAGGTTTCTTCTTGCTGGTTAGGGTTTGGGTGTATGGTGGTTGATCAACATTTGGGCCCCTTTTGGTCCCTAGACTGTAAAGAATATACTACCCCTAGACTATCAAGAATATTCTGCCCCCTAGACTATAAAGCATCTACCACCCCTAGACTATAAAGAATATACTACCCCTAGACTATAAAGAATGTACTACAAGCAGACCACGAAAGCGGCCCATAGTTTTGATCAACCCCCCTATCGAATTAGTCCCAAGGCTCATGTCCGGTCTTCAGGGAGCCCCGGCCGTCCATCCGTGGATGAGCATGAAGGCATTGCTGCTGAGGTCAATGCCGTTCTCCACAGCATCCTGAGGAGTCTAATGCAGGGGCCTTGACAATTAGAATAGGGTTTGGGTAGTTAGCTATAAGTGTTTTTGTTTTACAAAAACCCTCTAATGCGGGGGCCATGACAGTTAGAACAGGGTTTCGGTTTTTAGCTACAAGTATACAGACTACAAAATGTTGGAATACTGTTACCAACTAACTGGGCCGCTGTACTACAGGCCCCTGCAAGGGTTTAGGGTGCCGCAGTTCGTCATTTGTGGTATAGGAGCGCGAGCTGATGGGTTCATGTAACTACGTAGATTCGATTTCCTCCGTGATCATCTGGGAGTTTCCGAAAATAGGGGACCCTAATATAGTACCCTAAATTGTAGGATCCTGATTATAAGGACCCCCAAAACAGGTACCCCGAATTGCGGAAACTCCCATCTACGGCCGCTGTAAGTACAGGGTCAGGACCCAGGATGCCAACTTCAATCTTGAGCCCGAAATCCCCTCGTAGGGTCAGCAAGGTGGGGGCCTCAGGGCAATTATAGATAGTGAGGGTATGTCCATGACCCCTAAACCCTAAACAAAAACCGCAAACCTTCTACCCCCTACATCTTCACGGAGACTCCGGAAAGCGTGGAGCATTCAGTCCGAGACCAAAGACCAAAAACTAAAGGGTTTATCTTAAACATCGCTGAGCCAGAAACTCTACAGGAAAAGCCCGTGAAGGGGACCTTCAGGCTTTGCACTTCGGCCTTAGGATGCCTGGCTTAGGAGTTTGGTTTAGGGTTTAGGGTTCAGGGTTTAGGGATTGGTTGGGTTTTCGGTCCCGTTTTCGGCATGGTCAAGTAAGCGAAGAAATTCTTTTCTCTGCCTCACTGCATCACGAGTTCCGTGGCAATAAAATCCTCTTAACCACTGAAATTTTAAGCGATTCGGATTGAACACATACCTGGGTACCTCTGTATCAGCCGACCACATATATTGATAGTTACTTGTTAAGCTTCGATGCGGACACGGGTATAAAGCCGACGCCTCAAACAATGTACACAATGCAAGCACTGTAGGGGAAGTCACAGAAATCCCTGAAAAATGAAGCGACGAGGCCTGCAGCGTTGCGTGATCGCACATGGCGTCTAAGACTTTGGGACCAGTGCGTTCTTTCTACAAACCGTCGGTGGGATGTAGACTTCCCTGCCAATCTACACAGAAGCTCCAAAGATCAATCTGCAATGCGTCCAGACACTCTCCTGCACTCGAATAAGCCCGAACCCTCCAACTCTAAATCCCATGAGGTAATCTAAACCAGGAACCCCTATTGCCGTTTTTTGTCAGTCTCTGTGGGGCTTCTTGTATTTTCTCTGTTAAAACTCGAGCCGAAAAATCAAACACAGACAACAGTAAGTGAGCTTTGATTCTCGGATTATTCCTAGTGTGACCCACAGCAAGGCCTTGCTCCAGTTGGGGTCCCCGAAAGCTAACGGAGACTCAGGGGACCTTACGCATTCGCATGCTTGGTCTGATTGCAGTCACAAGTACTGCGAGAACTGGGCACGATGGTCATCGTCATCACCCTCATCATCATCGTCATCATCAGCATCATCATCAACATCATAAAGAATCCTTGTCATCTTGCCAAGTGGCAATGCTACGAATCCTAAACCAGACCTGAAACCGTAAACCCCAAACAAAACCCCAGGCCCTTGCTGGTCTGGTTGTTGATGCTGTTGACACTACGTCTCCTGTGGTCGACGTTGTTGCTCTTGCTGTTGCCATTGTCATGATCAGGGTACCAATGAAAATGATGGTGGCGACAAGGAAGTTGAAGGTGATGCTGGAGCTGTTGAAGATGATGATGATGGTGGTGATGATGGTGATGATGCGAATGGTTGGCAATGCTGTGAATCGTGGCGTGGCCTCACCGCCATAACCACATGGTACCTTCATGTGTGCATATATCTGTATGTATACATATATAATATGTATACATATTCATATGTCACATGTGTGTGTATATAGGTATGTCAGTATGCATGCACATATGTATATTCATAAGGATATATGTATATGCGTGTGTGTCTGTACATGTCGATATGCAATGTATGGATATATGACTACATCAAACACCTACATGCATATGTACATACATACCTGCTAACACACCACATACCTTCATACATTCATACATACATACATACCCCCATTCACGCATACATACACACCATGCATGTATGCGGACACACATACATCCTGACATACCTGCATGGACGCATACGCGCAGCCATGCATGCATGCATACATGCCTATCTGTGTCCATCCAACCATCCATCCTTCCATCCATCCATGCATAAACACGAAGGAGCGTACATATATGGCATGCAAACATACAGACTTAAATACATACATATAAACTCAAGCATTTTTATCTTACATAGTTGGCTGTGTCATACGACAAGCACGTACCGCGTGTACAATTTGTGGTACCGTGTCCTGCATCGAGCGTAGAAGAGAAAGATAGCCTTGACATACTTCGATGAAGGGGCTTAGAACATACAACAGGGACTATAAGGGGATATTGCTGCTAATTACTAATTATTCAGACATGTGCATTATTGCAACATTCTCTGGAAGTTCGAACTCAGCGCTGCTGTCAGACACCTCGGGAGTAGTTCGCCAAGACAACACACTTTCCTCATACGCACGCGTCATCTACTACCGCGGCCTTAAGCCTTGATCATTAGAAGAGGATTGCGGCGTGTATTATCGCATAGGTGTAACATGGTGCTCTGATAAACAAGTATGGCCATAGGTGATCATTCAGATACCTTTGTTGCCTCGCATGGACGGAGTAAGCGAGCTGCGCAGGCACCGGGGCTTAGGTTTTCGGGTTTAGGGGTTTCCTGCTCCTGACCTCTCCTCACGACTTGCTTTCGGGGCACAAGCCAAAAAGAATCGGCACCCCAAGCTTTTTGCGACTCTGTGCTTCAAGCCGCGGACTTTCGCGGCTAGAGCTCCGACCGCATGCCCTTTTCGCTCGCCACCTTTCGGGTTGAGGTTTTAGGGCTCAACCGTAGACCATCCCAGGTCACAAGCAAAAACAATCCACGTCTAACCCGAGTTTAGACTTGAGGGTCTGGCTTCAGGGTTGAAGGTTTGGAGCTTAAGGCTTAGCACTTAGAATTTAGGGGGTTTAGGATTTAGGGTTTAAGGGTTAAGGGCTGAGGCTTCCAGCTTTGCGGCCTTCTAGAAATTACTGTAGGAGACGGTTTTCGGAAATTCGAGTCTGCCGGGCCACTGCTAAAGTTGCACTTTCGATGGACTTCGCTGGTCAAGTCAAAGCTTCATGGCTGTCACATCTAGCTGAGGACGGGTGCAGGGTTCGATGCACTGTTCCCCGCTGAACGTAGATGAAGTCCACACCTCCATTACCAACGCCAAAAATCGCGCGAGGTGTCTACGAATATGCCGCATGGACAGACACCCAGGACCTGAGATCCTGAACTCTAAACGCCCTAAACCCCAAATCCTAAACTCCAAGTCCTAAACTCCAAACCCTAAAAACAAAACCCCAAACCCAAACCCCAAATCTAAACCCCAACCCCTAAACCCCAAACCCTAAACCCTAAACCCTAACCCCCTAAACCCTAAACCCCAACCCCTAAACCCCAAACCCCGAATCCCGGACCCCAAAACCCCAAACCCTAAACCCCAAGCAGAGACCCTGATCCTCCCCCTTCAGCCCGACACGGGAGCCTCGTCTGCACGAGACGAGGACTGTTGCAAGTGCAGCGCCACGATGTCCTGAAGAGAGCACGTCAGAACATGTGCTCTGTTTAATCTGAACCCTCCACCCTAAACCCTAAACTCCTAAACTCCTAAACTCTGCACCCTGAACCCACACCCTAAACTCCTAAACCCTGAACGCAAACCTTGAACCCCAAACTTGAGAGCTTTACAACATCAGGGGTCCCGGGTCCCTTCTTCGGGGCGCACAAGATGAGTCCTCTGGTTTCTGTTTCTGATAGAGACTTTCACACAGTCACGGTCATCTTTGGGAGACCCTAAACCATAACCTGATAGGCGGCCAAAAGGGGGGTTTAAGCTGCTTGGGGGTAGGGATTCCTTAATATGAACCCTTTTCTGGGAACCTTAATCCCTACTAAACCCCGCATGGGCTAAAACCCCTTTTGGCCTACTATGATAAATCCTCAAGCAGAGCCTTAATGTCCGAAGAAAAGCATCGTAGATCAGAGGATCCTCACGCAGGTTGTCCCGCTCTGCTGCTTCTGCTGGTGGGGTTTAGGGTTTAGGGTTGCTTACAAGCAGCATTGTAGACGCGTGCGGCCAGATTCTAAGCATATTGGTAGCAAGATCCGGCGTGCAAGTAGAGGGGAAGAAACGGCCATGGGTTTCCGTCCTCGCTTGCAGTCGCGTATGCGGTCCAGTTATGTATGCATGAACATCGTACAAACGTACGCACACCTCCATGCAGACAAACATGCTATGTCATGGAATATACCGCCGATACACGCCAAGACCATAAACTCAAAGTACTACACGAGCAAATCCCCAAGCCCCCAACCTCTCCTGCAACACAGTTCAAATCCATCTGAACCCTGAACCCTGAACCCTAAACCCTGAACCTAAACTCCTAAACTCCTAAGCCCTGAACCCTAAACCCTAAAACCTAAACTCCTAAAACCAAAACTCCTAGACCCTTAACCCTGAACCCTAACAGTTCAACTCCCTAACACACCCGGAGTCCCTCTAAATCCTCAACCGTCTAAACCCAAAGACACTTCTCGTCCAAACTCCCGGAGCTCGCAGCTGGAAATCAAAAGCCCAAGGCCTTCATAAGCCCAGATGATAGAAATCCTAGGCTTCCTTTAAAGGGATCTATAAGGGTACCTTTAAGGGATCTATACGGTTTTACGGTTTAGGGTGTAGGGTTGATGACATAAATCCTGCATTACCTTAAGGACTCTAGACTGTGGGAATTATGGTATATTCCTTATTATGGGTAATGCAGGATTTATATCATCAACCGGAGCACAAGGGTAAGGTTCAGGGTTTTACAGGATGCTTAGGGTAACAGGGTTCAGAAGGTTAATGAGAATTTATAGGATATACAGTGTTTAAGTCCGAAAGAAAATCGCAAGCCAAGTCGGAGAGCTCTCAAGTTGTCTGCATCCTATCACAACTTGGAGTGTCGGGGGACTTAGTAAGTAGGTAGTAAGTAGACTTTTAAGTACCCTAACAGGGACCCTAATTGGGGTTTTGGTACTTATAAGTCCTTAAAACAACCAGTTACTAAGTCACCCGACCCTCCAAGTAACCATTAGGGTTCCTTTGAACCGGGCTATAAGGGTTACTATGAGGAACCTATATGAGTACTATAACAATGTAGGAACCTGCTTCAGAAACCTGGGGCCTTTATTGGGGTTCTTCATATGAACCCTACTATTCTAAGGGTTATAGGCTCAGGGTTTCTTAATCAGGTTCCTACATTATCGCTAACCCTAGATCCTAGATCCATCAAGATCTCAAACCCACAAGAAACCTGCCACCCATGAAAGAACCCTAAACCCTAAACCCTAAAACCTAAACCCTAAACCCTAAACCCTAAGCCCCTAAACCCTAAACCCTAAGCCCGAAACCCTACCCCCTAACCCCCAAACCCTAAACCCTAAATCCTCAACCCTAAACGCAACCCCTAAACCCTAAGCCCTAAACCCTAAACCCTCAACCCTCAACCCTTAAGACCTGGTATGGGAAAGGTTGACGTTCGGCTCCTTGGTCTCTTGACGCGTGGCGAGCCTCGGCGCTGAGCCCCTGCTTGGAGGGTCTTTAGGGGACTTAGCAAGGGCTCCTTTAAAGGGGATTCTAAGGGCTCCTTTAAAGGGCCCTATAAGGGTAGTATAAGGTTTAGGGTTCAGGGACTTAGTAAGTAGGTAGTAAGTCGACTTAGAAGTACCCTAAACGGGACCCTAATTGGGGTCATGGTACTTATAAGTCCCTAAAATAACCAGTTACTAAGTTCCCCGACCCTCCTAGTGTAGTCTCTGATGGAGTGCCGTCTTGGGCTCGATACCCCGAACCCTACTTTGCGGTTAGGGTTGAAACAAACCCTAAGTCCTCTAATGAAGCAAACCCTAAGTCCTCTAAGGTCATAAACCGCCACGGTTGTTTAGCAGGTACAGGGGTAGTTGTGGCCATCCTTGCAAGGCTCCGGGGTTCATGATGGGGGATTAAGGATGTAGTATGATAGGGACCCTTAGGGGGGGAGGGGGAGGGGGTAGGGGGCCTTAATGCTCACAGTAAGGACCTAGCAAGGCCTGCTAGCATAGTCCCCTAACCCCTCCTCCCCCTTAGCCCCCTAAGGTCCCTATGATAGTAGCTGTCTCGAAAGATTTATGCATGAGGGTTTGAAAAGAGGGTTGCTGGGTTGCCCTACTTGGAGGTTCATGGGTAGTTATGAGTAGGGTTATAAGTCCCCTGAAATGGGTTATAAGTACAGATATAACACCACTTATAACTACCCATGGAACCTCCAAGTACTGAGAATGGTGTCTGGGGTATATTGCAGCATAGCGTTGCGGGGAGTACAAGGGTATATCGTTACCACTGACTCAGACCTCTATCTTGCACCGCTGAAAACTGTTGATGATAGAAATCATGCATTACCCATAATAAGAAATTTACCATAATTCCCATAGCTTAGGCTCCTTAGGTCATGCAGGATTTGTGATAAAACCCTATAGATCCCTGAAGGGAATTCCTTTAAGGTGCCCGTATAGGTCACAGAAAAGCTCAGCCATGTTGCTCCAGACAAGTCGTGCCATTCACGGAAGGGAGCTCTGGCTTTATCCGGGCCTGGGGCAGAGCTTCGGCTACTTCCCAGAGACTCCAATACCCCTTAAGGAATATTCCTTGAATCATATTAGGGATCCTATCATAAAGTAAGGAATATCCCTTAATGAAGGGGTATTGGAGTCTCTGGGTTGTCGCCCTTGCTGTTAATGCCACGACTATACTTGGAGGTTCATGGGTAGTTGTAACTAGGGTTATAAGTGCCCTGATACAGGGTAAGTATAGTTACCCTACTTACAACCCCACTTATAACTACGTACCCATAAACCTCCAAGTACTACACTACCTGCCAGGGCAGCAGAGACAAACACGAAGACAACGAGAACGAGGACGAGGACCAGGACGGCGACGACTGCCATCATCATCATCTTCGTGATAGTCGTTGTTCTTACTACTATCGTTATCACCACCACAACCGTCCTCGCAACATGATCGGAGATCCAAGGCTTTGAGGGCTAAACGGCTTGGGTTTTCATTTAGAGCTTAGGGCTGCTGGGGAATTGTGGCTTGAGGTTTGGGGCCTGCAATTTTGAGGTGTTGCTTGGAGGGTCGGGAGACTTAGTAAGTAGGTAGAAGTAGACTTACAAGTACTCCAAAAGGGACCCTGATTGGGGTTATGGTACTTATAAGTCCCTACAATAACCAGCTCCCAAGTCCCCCGACCCTCCAAGTAGGGCTTTTGCATCAAAGTCCCAGGTTTGTCGAAGTCCAAGTCGAAGTCCTCTTGGGGCTGCCTCTTTTTGCCCTTGCTGCCCTTTCCATTGCTGGCGTTGTCCTTGGAGTCCTCCTTGTCCATGCTGTGGTCAGAGGCTTCATCGGAGTCGAAGGCGACGGACTCGATGGTGCACGAGTCCGACTCCTCTGACAGGTCTGAGGGCTCCTGGTACTCCGAGTCGGAACACTTCTTGATCTGCTCCTCGTCGCTGTCCCAGTAGTACCTAGGTAAGGCTTTTCAAGCCTTTGAAAAACATTAGTCAATAGGATCCTCTTCTTCCCAACAAGGGAAAATATAAAATGTCCCAAAGCCCTACCTAGGTACCCCTTCCACGGATCCTTGGGACGCCAGCGACGATCGCCACGTCTAACGAAGACGGTCTCGCCGAATGGCCCATGATTAGGGTTTAGGGTTTAGGGTTGAGGGTTTCCCAAAACTCCAGAATCGCCAGCCACGAATGACAACGAGTCAATCCTTGACCAAGTGCAGCAAACTCTCACTGCCAAACCTTCCCGAGAGGGCCTTACCAACTTGAACACTAGACCGCTGTATATATACGGATATATGCGATAAACACATACATGCATGTGTGTATGTATGTATGTATGTGCATGTGTTTATATATGAGACTTTGTGACATCCTCGAGAGTGCGTCATCTGACACTTTCAACAACGGAACAGAACAAAGAGGTATACATATACACATATATGTAACATTTCTGGAGATCGACAAGCACATAGAGGTAGATATAGAGAAAGCAAGATGTGGATGTAGATACAGATCTCGATAGAAACAAAGATACAGATGTGGATACAGATAGGAACTAGAGTAAGGGAAAATCTCATCCTCCTGGAGCCCCAACTCCTGACCGAAGACCCCAAAAAAGCGCAGAACCGAAGCGACGTCGTTGAAGCCCTGCAGCGTTTATCCTGAAAGCCTGAAGAGCCAAACCCTCCTTACGGGTTTCGGGTTTAGGGTTTAAGGTTTAGGTTTAGGGTTTAGGGTTTAGGGTTTAGGGTTTCGGGGTCTAGGGCTTCGAGAACCAAAACTCTACCAAGCTCCTGAGAAGCCCTAAACGCTACCCCCGAGGTTCAAGGACCCTAAGCCGCCAGGCTAGTAGCAACAGGAACCCTAAGGCAGAGCATTGGCATTTCTACATGAGAATCTAGAGATTTCCCTTTGGTTAGTAGGGAACGGGAGAATGGTAGTAATAGTAGCTACTTTGTAGCCCATTCCTCCATTCCCTACTAACCAAAGGTAAGTCTCTAGATTCTCATGTAGAATTGCCAATACTCTGCCTTAGGGTTCCTGTTGCTACTAGAAACTATAGATCGTCTAACTTTTGAGGCCGCTGGATAGGACCTAATGCAAAGTCTTTGCAAAGGAACCTCGAGAAGAAGTCGAACCACTTGGCTGTGCCGCGCTCCTGGCTGAAGCTTGGAAGTGCCAACAGTTAAGTCCTTCATTATGGGTAGTTGTCAGAATTCAGGTCCCTGTTTGGGGTACCCTAAATCATAGATGCCGCATCATAACTACCCAAAAAGGGGACCCTTAATGTTGACAGGTCCACCTATATTCAGAGCAGGGCTCCTTCCAAACGCTTCCTTGAAAGGCTTCTTCACAGGGTGGCTGCAAGCGTCTGGTATAGGGTCACTTCCCTGAGAACCAGCATAGGGCACCGCACCAATTGCCCAATTCTGACATGATTAGGAATCAGAGTCGTCAAGCTGCGGCTTAGGTCGACTGTTTCACGAGTTTCGTTCAGAATTGTGCTTGAGGCTGCAGGGTTCCAGCTGATGGTCGAGGATTTAGGAAGTTAATTTATGGCCCGTTTAGAGCTCATGGTCATGGATGTTGCCCTAAACCCTAAACCTCCAAAACCCTAAACCCGAAGCCCCAAGCCCTGAACCCTATACCCTAAGCCCTGTACCCGAAGCCCTGAACCCTAATTCGAACTCAGTGTTTTGGACTCAATCATTGCTGCCGTGGCACTTTTGCCCCAGCAGGCGCGGTGCAAAGGAGCATAGCCATCCCGGTGGAAGCTATGCCTGGGTTCCCGGAGGCTCTAAAACCCTTAATCAAGGAATACCTAAAGTTCCTTTAAGGGATCTATACGGCGATGTAAGGGATCTATAGGGTTTAGGGTTTAGGGGGCTCCAATACCTCGAAATTAACGAACATACCTTGCGTATTCCTTAATTCAGGGATGTTGGAGTTCCTGGTTTTCTGGGTGACCGAGACTTACGTGGGGGTGAGGATTTGGAACGTCGAGGATCTCAACTAGAATTGTTGGGCTGATGTGCTTCCCAGAGTAGGGGACCCTAATATAGTACCCTTTATAGTATGATCCTTATTATAAGGACCCCAAAATAAAACCTTCCAAGCTGAGTTATATATCGGATGATACATGTTATATGGGTAGTTGTCAAAATTATGGTCCCTTTTTGGGTACCCTAAATATTAGGTGCCGTATTATAATAAGGACCCGAAAAGGCACCCTGTTTTTGACGGCCACCCACATATTAGATACCATATTGGAGTTTCCGAAAATGGGGAACCCTAATGTAGTACCCTAAATAGTAGGATCCTTATTATGAGGACCACAAAACAAGGTACCCCTAAATTTCCGAAACTGTCGTATATCGGATCTGGAAACTAGAGCTCCCCAAGTTGCAGCTTCGAAGGGAAGGGGCTGTACTTCAACAGCACTTCCATCACCTCCAGGGGTTTATGGTTTAGGCTTTAGTCAGGGTTTGAGTTCGGGGTTTAGGCTTGAAGCAGGACCGGGTTTGAAGGATTGGGGCTTGCCGGTGCAAGGTGCGCCCTTTTGGCATTGATGTCTGTAGGGGTCCAGCTTTGACACTGCTTTGTCAGTTGGGGTTCGCGCGGGCATCGTTTCCACATGTTCGACTTACTTTAGTGAAATGGCCTGCAACCCTAGCCAGCGACGAATCAAAGCAGTGCGAACTCACCATATAACGACACACAGAAGCCATGCAGTCTCAAACGGGGTGCCTAGTGTGTCGCTCTGCCCAACAGGAGGGGGCTACCCTATACCTTAGAACTCTAGGTTCGAAGCTTTCTGAAACCCTGAGCCGTGAACCCTGAACCCTGAAACTCCAGAGCGCGAGCGCTCTAATTGGAGGTTTGTGGGTAGTTATTAGTGGAGTTATAAGTCCCCCTCATAATGTCATAGGGGCTATAGGTATAGTTACCCTACTTATAACCCTACTTATAACTACCCATGAACCTCCAAGTAGGCCCTTAACCCTAGAACCCTGTAGAATCCCTATAGCTCCCTTTAAAGGGACCCTTAAAGGAACCCTTACAACTACCCATGAACCTCCAAGTAAACCCTGAAGCCGCACACCCAAACAGTCAAGTCCCTGCAGCCACGGCTTGCATGCAAAACTGGTTTCAAACGCAGAGTTGGAGCCTTGGTTCAGGTTCCGGGTTCAGGGGCTTCCTCTAAGACTCTATGAAACCTACAGAAACCAAGAGAAAAGCCCTCTAAACAATCATGGAACCCATGGAAACCCTACACCCCAAACCCTTTATACCCTAGGCCCAAAGCCCTAAACCCCTTTAACCCCCTAAACTCCAAACCATAAACCAAAGTTCTAAACCCCAAACCCCAAACCGCAAGCAGGCCCTAAATCCTAAACCCCAACCCTAAACCCCTACAATAGCCCTGAGTCATCTTACAGTAACCCTTAAGAGAACTCTAACCCCTTTAAACCATAAACCTTTAACCCCTAAACCCCTTGAGCCCTTAAGAGCCCCTAAACCCTAACCCTAAACCCCTTAAGCCGTTAAGAGGAGCAGGCCTCTGGCCTGCCTCGCCAAGCGGCCGCATCCATGGGGGCGTAGCCCTCCTCCGACAGGCTTTTTGGTTGAGGGCTTTGGGGTTCTGGGTTTTGGGGGTTTAGGGATTCAGGGGTTTTGGGGGGTTAAGGGTTTAGGGGTTTAGGGTTTAGGGGGGTTTAGGGGTTTAGGGGGGTTAAGGGTTTAGGGGTTTACGGCTTAAGGGATTTAGGGGTTTAGGAGTTTTAGGGATTTAGGGGCTCTGGGTTTAGGGGTTTAGAGGGGGTTTATCGTTTGGAGTTTAGGGGTTTGGGGGGCTTTGGGGTTTAGAGGGTTAGGGGCTTTGGGTTTTGGGCTTAGGGGTTGGGGCCGTTTGGGTTCACAGGGCTCTCAAACCGCTCAGGGGCTGTGGGTTTAGTGCGCTTGTGAACGGCAGGGTTCTAGGGTTTGGGTTTGTTTGAAGTTACTTAGTAGGGGCTTTCCGGGCTTCACACTCTATAGGCTTACTTGGAGGGTCGGGGGACTTAGTAACTGGCTATTTTAAGGACTTATACGTACCATAACCCCAATTAGGGTCCCTTTTAGGGTACTTATAAGTCTACGTACTACCTACTTTCTAAGTCCCCCGACCCTCCAAGTAGCGTTTTGCAGGAGTTCGAAACACAGGCATCATGATCGACAAAAAGCGGGTCGTTACTCGTCTCAGCGCTTATAAGTAGTTGCCGTGTCCTGAGCCCTAAACCCTAACCTTCTTGATTTAATATAGGCGCCTCAACACTTAGAAGAGGGTTTTGGGGCCATTATCCTATAATTATAATAAGGAACCCCCAAAATAGTATAGGTAATTATTGAGGCCCCTACGTCAGGGTGCCAGGGCACATTGCAGAATATTGGGAGCCGATCTTCAGAAAACACGAGCACCTGACTACTCAGCAAGTCTCTGATGTCACCCAAACTGTGAACATGGGCGGATGAGCGGAAACTCCGAAGCTTAAAACCCTGAAACTCTGGACACCCTTAACTCCAAACGGAAAAATTCGGTCCTTGTCTGCGAGTGTCACGTTGCAGCCTCTCTGAATGAGCAGTTCCACAACCTTGGAGACATGCAGGGTCTTCAGTAAACCCCATAAAGTTGGAAACCGGAATAAGGCCAAACAGTTTTTGAATCCCATATATTACTCTTGAGGATTGGGGGTAGTGGGTTTCCAACTTTTGGGCTTCTACTGTAGCTCTTAGGTCTTACGGTCTCATGCAGTTGGTTTCATTGAGCTTCGGAAGGATCCTCAAGTCAGGTTTTGCTTGGGTGTATGGTTTCAGGGTTCGGTTTGGGGATTCTATAACTCTCTTCTTCAACAACCGGCCCCAAAAAGTTCAAACTTTCTAAGATAGAGCTCATATATAAGGCCACAAAGTTTAAAGTTCCCCCGTTCACTATATAACTATAGATCCGTTTAAGGATCCCTTTTTTTCTAGAACCCTTATAGATCCCTTTAAGGATCTCTTTATCCAAGACAACCCTGGCCTGGTACAGGCGTCCCCGGCTGAGGCTAAACTGAGAAATCGGAGCCTGACAAGCAAACCTCAAATGAAAAGAAGGGTTCCTTTAAGGGTCCCTTTAAAGGGATCTATAGGGTTTCTATGAGCGTATAGGGTTTAGGGCCTACTTGGAGGTTCATGGGTAGTTATAAGTCGGTTACAAGTAGGGGAACTGTATTTATAACCCATATCAGGGGACTTGTAACCCCACTTATAACTACCCATGAACCTCCAAGCAAGGTTTAGGGTTTAGGGAAGCCGTTGCTCTAAGTTCTGAGCTTCTTTTCTCTGTCGGCCGTTTTGTGGAGCGCCGCTGCCTTCAGACCCACATGATGGTGGAATCTTTCGGCGTCGATAGTTTTCAACTAGATGTTAAAAAGACAATGTCGGGGTGGCATGTGCCTAAACCCGAAACCCTAATACCCTAAACCTCTAAAACCCCTAAATCCCTAAACCCTAAACACGAAAATCCACAAAGCCATTGGAGTTGCCGGCCAGGGGGCTTCAGCGTGCCCCTCAAGGCTCGCCACCATGACGGGCGTGCGGAGGTCTGGCACAGAAGCTTGCTTATTAGGGTTTAGGGCTTAGGGTTTGGGGTTTTTATGGTTTAGGGCTTATAGGCACTAACCATCGATTCTAAACACGAAATACGTGGAGGGTTTGAGTGGAGAATGTCTGGCGAAACGTAGGGTTTTCGATTGGTGGTCACTGGCTTTGCCGACGATGCAATTGTATCACTCCGACAAACGGGCTGATACGAACAACTGCCACTATTTACCAATACTTGCTACTTACTACTTGCGGTATGCTACTTGCTCCCTGCTGCTTCTCTTTCTGCTTCGCAGCTACGAGCTGTTGCCACGTGTTGCCTGCACTGCTGTAGCTGTGGCTGCTGCTACTTCTGCCATTGTTGGCATTGCCACCGCTGCGGCTACTGCAAATCCTCCTGCTCTAGCTCTTTCCCACCACAAGCACTACCACTACCTGTGACCTGAACCACCACCACCACGACGACCACCGCTACTACCACTGCCAAACTTTGAACAGCCGACTCTAGAGAACTCGTTTCGGGTATCGTCTTTGCCTCACCTCCTCCCGCCTCATGCTCCAAAACCCTGTGTTCACCCTGCGCTTCCCTGCCTTCGGTTTCGGAGCGGTGGTTGACCCATTTTCGAAGACCTTCGCTGAGGAATTGGGGCCCTACTTGCAGACTCCCACGGCTAACTAGCATTGGGCATCACACTGTGCTTTTGCCTGTGGGGTTGCGGTTGGGGATCTTCAGTCACAGTGCTTGCCTTCCAGAGCTTTGGGGGCAAGGAAGGCCGGTCAGTGGTAATGGTTGAAAGCAGGATAACTCTTGCTGAGCTTGTGAGAAAAGCTTCGGCATCAGTGGCTGAGTATGCATGATGTGTCAAGCCGACTAATCACACTCGCTCTTCAACATGAGTCCCTAAACCCTAAAGTCTAACCCTAAACCCCAAACCCTAAACCCGTAAACCCTAAACCCCTAAAACCCCAAACCCTGGTTACATAGCTCTCTTCCAAGTTCCGCAGTTTTGAGGGGTGACGGATGGGGCCCGACAACGCGATCGTCCACGTGATGTGGTCGCTGCGAGGGGAACCAGAGACTCCCAAAAAGCTACAAATTAGGGAACGTACCTTAAATGTCCTAGTTTAGGGTTTAGGGTGCTGAGTATCCCAATACAGTACAGCGTAAGGCATGTCATAAACGAGGGGTCGTGGGCTCTCTGATTAGTGGCACCCCTAATTACGGACCTTCAAGAAAGGGGCCTTGTATGTTAGAGGGATCCTACTATCAAGGGCGTGCGGTTATTATGGAGTTAAGGGCTCTGATGGTTATTCAAGGCTCTTGGAAAAAAAGGCTGAGGAGGCCTTTTAAGGTTTTTCGTGAGGGATCCAAAGCGAGGACACCCAGTAACCTAGGGAAGAAAAGGCCCCGTTTGGTATTGGGTAATAGAGGGTGAACACCAATATAGGGGTACTATAATATAGGGGCCGAAGTAAATACCACTACTATTTGAGGGTTCCTTATTCTAAGTATAGTATAATGGGCCCCGAGACCCTTTTCTAATTAGTAAGGTAACTATGTTAGTTCTATGAGGAACCTAAGACCAAAAAAGTGAGAAAGGGCTCACTCGGAGACCCTGAAAGGAACACAATAAGGACCCAAAAGTAGGGTCCCCGATTATAGCACCCTAACGGGAGACCTTAAACCCTTAACCCTAAACCCGTAACCCTGAACCCTAAACCCTTAACACAAAACCCTAAGCCCGTAACCCTGAACCCGTAACCCTAAACCCGTAACCCTAAACCCTTAACCCTAAACCTAAAGCCCTAAACCCCAAACCCTAAACCGTAATCGGGTGCGAAAAGGGTTCCCGACTGAAAGGAACACCAGCCAGGGCGGCCTTCTTGGTCCAGGAGTCGAGCGACCTGTGCCGCACTTGCAGATGCATGAACCTCCAAGTACCCTTCGATGGGCTTAGGGTTTTGGCTGAGTTTAGGGGTTTACGGTCAAGGATTTTTGTTAAGCACCTTTTCCTCTGCTAAAGCAGTCTCTAACCGCAGGCTTTCGGGTTTAGGTTTGAGGCTGGCCTAGCAGAGCGTGTAATACGGTAGCCCTAACTACAAATGACAATTTAGACGAGCATTCCCCACTCCAATCTTCAAAATCAAACTTTGCGAACATAGGTAGAACACCCCTACCCCCAACCCGCCCAAAATCCAAGCTGCCACGCCAGAACAAAACTGACGCCGAGGGTTGACCCCAAGACTCAAACCCCGGACTAAACCCTAAACCTTGTGCAGACAAAAATGAATTGCCTGCATCTCGCTGCGGACTAACCCCACGCCCCGTAGCCTGGACCCTTGCGCATCCGGTCTGCAGCGACCCTACCTTTAACCTTCAAGTTTAGAACAAAACACGAAACGCACCTCCCCTCCCAAAAAACAACCTGTAATCCCTGCTTTTTGCGGTTTACGATACGCCTGGCTCTGAAAAACAGCCCTAAACCCGAAAACGCTAAACAATAGCTGCTGCTTTTCTTTACAAAATACAGACCTCGAGCCTCCGAAATCCCTGAACCCTAAACCCCTAAACCCCTAAACCCTAAACCAAAACTGCTTCTTTCCGTAAAAAAAAAACGACCCCGAGCCTCCCTTGAGTCGCCAGTCTTCGCGGCCGCGTTCAGCAGCGAGGCGCCCGCCAAAGCCGGGATCATCCTAGGGCTGCGTTTCGGGTTTCTTTAGGGTTTAGGGAGTTTATGTAGGGCTCCGTTTTGGGTTTAGGGGTTTAGGGTTTAGGGAGGAATCTAGAGTTTAGGGCTCCTGTTGTTGGGTTTAGGGGTTTAAGGTTTAGGGAGTTTAGGGTTTGAGGAGTTTAGGGTTTAGGGCTCCGTTTTGGGTTTAGGGGTTTAAGGCTTAGGGAGTTTAGGGTTTAGGGCTCCGTTTTGGGTTAAGGGCGTTTTGAGGGTTTAGGATTGATAGGGTTCAAGGGCTTTTTCGGGCGGAGGGGCGGGATCATCCTAGGGCTCCGAGTTGGGGTGGCTCCAAGATTTTTGTGTGTTTTTTCGCGGGCCCTTTTCCGACGGCAGGTTGCTGTGGGAGTCGCGAGGTCGGGGGAGCCGTTGATGATTGCCTTGGGGGATAGTTAGGCTATAGGGTTTGGGGCTTGGGGTTTAGGGGATTACCATGGCAATCAGACGAAGTTCCAAGGCTCATATTGTCGGGGCCTTAATAATTAGACTTGGGTTTTGGGGCCCATTGTAGTATAATGATGACAAGGAACCCCCAAAATAGTGTAGCCGGCAATGGCCCAGGAGATGCGGCATGCGAGGCATACCAGGAGACACTTTCCCGAACGCATACGGAGTTACGTTTACAAGATTCCAAAAAGGAATTGAAAAGGTTCCGAGTGTAGGGTCTAAGCAGACTGTTGTGATTTAAGGCTCGAGGTCTCAGGATTCAGCGCGCGATACCGTTGTCTTGTTGCTGCTGCTGTTGTCGCTATGGACGCTGTTCTTGCCGCAATCCTTCTTATCAATGTTGTTGTTTGCTGTTTGTCGTACTGGTTGTATTTGTGCGTCGCTGCAATTCTTGGAGAACCAAGCTCAAATACCCCAGGAGTCAAAATGCTATGTTCATCGTTATGAAGCTAGCAACTGGAAACCATGAACGAGAACAAGGGGAGGAAAATGGTGACAATGAGACTGAGGACTGGAGCTCTGATGCTGCCGGTGGCTGGCGATTATAATGATGATGCCTGTCATTATGAGTGCTCTTGTCCTAGCCATATGTGTCTGCCCAATAAGCACGGCAACTGATGGACAGCATGTACTGCGGCATCACTCGCCAATTTAGGGCGCGGTCCAGGTTGCTGTGCAGGATACTGTGTGAGGCTTTTGTAGCGGACATCTGATGTAAATCGAAGAGTTTCCATGACAAACCGATAAACCAAACGAACTGGATCAAGTAAGCCCCAAACCCTAAACTTAAAGCTTTTCTTCTCCGAGAATCGCAGCCACCCGAAGCATTGCGAGCATCATGGGCTCTGAGCGGGCAGCTTGGCGTGTCAACCCGTGTCTCTCTAGGGACGACAATCGTGGGTGTACGATTCAGAGTTTGGAGGACTTCAAGTAAAACGTATAACCTCTCTTCCGGGCGGGGGATCTTTCGAACAGGAGCGGAGCACGACGAAGAATAACTGCTATTGCCGGCCTAGCAAAACTGCAACCCCAAACCGCTAAACCTTGAATCTTGATTTAGGGCTTTTGGGGTTTAGGGTTTAGGGTTGAGGGTTTAGGGTGGGTTCCTCTCAGGATTAAGCCTTTATGGTTTAAGGGATTGTAGTCAAGGATGAATTGTTCACGGTATAGGGCTATAACTATAGGCTGTCTTGAAGAGCAACACGCATGAGATGGTTTTTCGACCTAGCTACTTCCGGCATACATGGGTTTCGATTTCAAAGCTTAACCCTAAGCCCCAAACCCTAAACCCTAAACCCTAAACCCTAAACCCTAAACCCTAAACCCTAAACCCTAAACCAACCAACCAACCAACCAACCTAAACCCTTAACAAAGCCATAACATGGACCTTAATGATACGCCGAGGCTTTGAGGTGTTGAGATTGAATATCCACCCATGGCCCCTCCTCTCATCCCTCCCTTTCGAATGCGACACGCGTTATTCGATACGGTCTCCTTACCGAACCACCCAAAAGGCCCAAAATTTGGCAAAATCCAAAACACTGAACTCCGTAATACCCTTAAACACCAAAGCCCTACAACACCCGGTACCAGGGAGTAGGGTTGAAGCCCCGGGGAGATACAGGAAAGTTGTCTACGGCTTAGGGTTCAGAGTTTACTTGGAGGTTCATGGGTAGTTCTAAGTGGCGTTACAAGTCCCCCATATGGGTTACAGTTGTAGTTACCTTTCTTCACTTATATACCTATGAACCTCCAAGTAGGGTTTGCCATCGAGACGAAACCTCCAAGAGCTGCTAGTTCAGTCACCACCTAACCCACAACACCAAATCCCTAAGCCGTACTGCCAAAAGCCAAATTCTAGGACCCTTTAAACCTCAAGACATAAACCCTCAATTTGGCCTAATTCCGAAAATTAAACCTGTGTTCGTGAGCCATGAAAACCATTTCGGGTTGGATGATTTCATCGCTGAGAGCTTGGACCTTGGGGTTGTAGCATGTCGGGTTTAGGCTGAGCCACCTAATTACACCCCAAGTCCAAACACCCCAAATTCAAACCCCTAAACCCTAGATCCCTAGCGCAGACCCTAAACCCTGAAAACCCTAAACCCTAAACCCCTAATCTTGACCCTGAACCCCAAGCCTCAGGCCCTAAACCCTAAAACCCCAAACCTGGAACTCTAGACCAAAAGCGCTGAAGCTGAAACCGCTCAAAATCCTTGTGAGAACCACTTTTTTGCCAACTGATGGCATGGAGTTCTTCCGTGCCTCTTGCACGGGCAAGCGTGGAGGTGCTGGGCAGCTCAGAACAGGGCTTAGGGTTGAGGGTATAGGATTTAGGGAGGGATGTTTGGGGGCTTTAAAGGACCAGGGTTTATGGTTTATTGTCTGGTGCCTAGTAGAGAATGGGGAATGGATCCCTTCTGTAGTCTTTATATAATCCCCAATAACACACTTCCCCCATGCCCTACTAAGAACCAGACTGAAGAGATTATACTAAGGCCCCTACACTAAACCCCCATAGTACCTCCTTATAGTAGCCCTTATAGAGCCCTTTAAAGGAACCCTGTCCCATAGGCACCCCCTTATAGTAGCCCTTATAATTGAGCCCTTTAAAGGAACACTGTTTTGCGGTTTAAGGCACCCACTTGGAGGTTCGGGGGACTTAGTAAGTAGGTAGTAAGTAGACTTATAAGTACCCTAAACGGAACCCTAATTGGGGTTATGGTACTTATAAGTCCCTAAAACAACCAGTTACTAAGTCCCCCTAAACCCTAAACCCTATACCATTATAGAATCCCTATAGGTCCCTTTAAAGGACCCCTTTAAAAGGAACCCCTTATAGTTACTAAGTCCCCTAAAGACCCTCCTAGCAGGGTTTATGGTCCAGGGCTCTCTGGTTCTAGGGTTCGGGGCTTCGTGGTTTCCCAAGTCGGGCCTCCAGGATGTAGGGTGCGTAGTTTTAGGGTTGAGGGTTTAGGGTTTAGGAAAGTTTAGGGTTTAGGATTTAGGGGTTGGGGGGCTTTAGGGTTTACGGAGGAAGGGGTGCTTGGGGTCAACTTTCCATTAAGGACCCAGCTTGGATTTGGGGTTTGGGGCTGAGTGAGGTTTAGGAAGTCAGCGCTTGAAACTCGGGACCCGGTTTAGGGGTAAGGGTTTAGGGTTTGGGGTTTAGGGTTCGGGGAGTTAAGGTGGAAGGTTTGGGGCAGATTAGATTGAAAGTCATCTTCCAGGCAGCCCTAAGCCGTAAACCCTAAATCCTCTTCCAGGCAGCCACATGCCGCACCGTCATCTTCGAAACGGGCGGAGCTACACACCGCTACAGCCTCCTTGCATCGGCCTGCACATCGGGTTTGGGGTCTAGTGGGATGAAACTTAGGCTCGGAATCCTGAACAGTAAGCCAGAGACTCCAAAACCCCCTGAATCTACCGTGGCTTAGCATTGGAAAAATAATATGAGTTCAGGTATAGTCCTTAGTTAAGGGGGTTTTGGAGTCTGGGAGATCCGCAAGATAATCACACGTATCCAAGCCCACTTGGCGGATCAGGAAACCTGGTGAATGGCGGTCAGGAAACTCATGTCATAGACCGATAGATAGGAAGAGATAGACGAATAGGTAGATAGATGAATATATAGGTACAGAATGATTGACTAGACCCAAGAGTAACCTAGGAACAAAAAGGCCGCCCTTTTTGGTTTAAAGGGGCTTATAAGGGGACCTGAACCCTAAAAAAAGGGAATAAGGGCCTACTCCAGGTCCTAGTTGAAAAACCTGGCCCAGTTGAAAATACTTCTGACCTTCAGACACCCGATTACCGAGGACGTAAGCCCCCAACCCGATAAAAACGTTCCCAAATGCCATCTTCAAGCACGCCTTAGTCCTCAGACCCTATACCGAACTACCAGGGACCTAAACAATACGCCCCGAAATCCTAAAACATTTCGAAGAGGGTTTTAGGGTATATTGCTTGGGGGATCCTGGGACTTAGTAGCGGTTTCAGTAAATAGGGTCATAAACAAGGTATGTATAGCAACCCCAGCTGATGTACTTATAACTTGACGTACTGAGATACATGGTCCCCCAAGTATGGTATACTGATGCGTTACGAAGTATGACGAGTTTGTCAGACCGCTGACAGACAAACGAAAAACCTCAAAACTCTAAACCCTGAACCCTAAAACTCAGAGTCCCTAAGCCCTAAACCCTAAACCCTAAACCCTAAACCCTAAACCCTAAACGAGGTTTGGTGTAAAGGAGTTTGGGGTTTCGGGCCAAAGCTCATGGCTTCGAGTCTTTGGGGTCTCGTTTCAACTTTGGGGTTTAGGGGTCTAGGTTAGAAGCTGCCCCCAGCCTGTAATAGTGACTATAAGGATTATATAGGATTATATTAGGGCCCTGACATCTTCCTATTATACCACTATTACAGGGTGGGGGAAGCTTCTAAGGTCTAGGGTTTTAGGGGTCTCCCACATGAGGATAGATCGGATTACACCCGAAACCCGAAGGGGGCTTTCAAAGTAAGCCCCTATAGGAAACTCCAGAAAGTTGGAATATGGCTTCAGGGTAGGATCCCTATATTTTACTTTAAAGGGATTAGGATAATGATATTCCAACTTTCTGGCTTTTACCTTATGCTCGAACGTGGCTTCAGCCGAAGGCTCTTCGTAGTTGCCGGATCTGAGCCGCTCGACGTTGGGTTTGGGTGGTGGGCTCAAGGCGGGCGGTTGCGCCGCTTGAAACCCATGCGGGGAGACTAGATGTTTCAGGAAAGATGTTCAAAACGGAGATCAACTCAGCCGAACAAAATCAAGAATGAGTAAACCCGTAACCCGGAACCCTGAAATTATCCCAAACAAAGACGACATTCGTATCGGCGACCTTAGCTAGCTCCTACTGCGAATCTGGCTACATGCGCAGATAAATCTGCATCTTCTGCAGCTCACGGGGTTAGGATTTAATACAAAAGCGTTAAAAAATAGAGCTGGGCGTTGGGGAATATTGCAATGTACCTTTGTGTAGTTCTCTAACTTAGGGTCCCTTTTCAGGTCCCACACAATTGTACTGCACCCTTATAGACCGGAAAGGGACCCTAATTTAGAGAACTCCATATGATGTGAAACTTGAAGAGGCTTCGAATATAGGGGCCTGAATAATTAGACGAGGGGTCCCTTTAAAAGGTTCCCTTAACTGGGTTCTATAAGGGTTAGTATAGGGGATGCTACAAGGGTACTATGATGTAGGGGCCTCAAGAATTAGAAGCAGCGTTTTGGGCCCATTAACATTATACTATACTTCTTATAAGGAGCCCCCAAATGGTATAGGTTATTGTTAAGGACCGTCTAGCATGTTGAGCCGATGGTTTTCGGGCTTTCGATTTCGGGTTTAGGGTGTCGTGTGGGGGCGTTGGGGTTCCTGCTGTGCTTTAGTATTTGGGGCTTCGGAGCTTTACAGCATAGTGTGTAGGGATTGGGATTTGGCGTTCAAAGTTTAGGCTGTGCGTGTTGGAGAGTGTTGACTCCCGATGTGTAGCTGACAATCAGAGATCTGCCAAACGAAGACAAGATCATGCTACTGCTGCTTGTTTTGAAAATTTGTGCAGACATGCCCGGCGATCCTCCGTGCATGTAATAAGACCGCCCATGCAACCAAAGCCAGATACGCAGTAAAACTAACAAGAGCGCCTCAGGACAACCTCGCCTCGACACCGTAGCGAAGTCAAAAATACGGACTTGCTTGGAGGTTCACGGGTAGTTCTAAGTGGGGATGTAAGTCCCTGGGATATAAGTATAGTTACCCTACTTCTAACCCCACTTATAACTAGCCATGAACCTCCAAGTAGTTTACTGTTGTTGCGCAGGCATTTCTTGGTCTTCTTGCATAGTATATATCAGCTTGCATCACTGTCACTGCTAACCTCGACCCGAAAATCCGAAATCCCAAGGCCTAAACCCATGCCTTCGAAACCTCGAATGCAAACCCCGAGCTCTGAACCTGAGGACCTGAGCCCAAAACTCGATGCCCTGAAAAAATCCCCCTCAAAGGCCGTAAAACCTCTTAAACAAGAACAAAAGATCCTTCATATGTTGAAGATCGATAATCTTTGCCTTACGTGCATTAAGAATCTTCCATTTTGGGGCTCTCCGCTTAGGGCTGGAGCTTTAGGGGCTCGGGTTTATGGAGTAGGTCTCAGACTTTCAGGCCCTAAACTCGAAAACTAAACACCAGGAAGCATGAAACCTACCAAACATGTAGGGTTTAGGGCTTAGGGCATAACCATCAAAACCTGAACTCTGATCCGCACAAGCCCGAAAGACGCAAAGCTTCAGGAAACGGACTGAACCCTGCAATCCTGCAAGCCCTTCAGCCGGCCTACATCCTTTCAAAGGCCGTCCTTGCCATCCTGGAACTTTGCGAGCCTGTTCTAAGAGTCGGGTGGGTTTGAGTAATGGTTTTTTGGGTTTAGGGTTTAAACTTAAGCCTTGCTTAGAGTGCATGGTCCATTTAGATTTTGGTGTTTTCCCTGCAGATGATGAGGCCGTTAAGTCGTTGAGTCCTTGTTTCATTATCCTGTCCCCCGGCGCTTGGGCTTACACTTCTGGCAAAAGGCTCCATGACTCTGAATCAACTCATTTCCCAGAGAGCCCAATATCCCTTAATTAAGGAATATACCTTCTGAAAACGTAACATTCGGGCCCTTATAATTTAAGGTATATTCCTTAATCAAGGGGTATTGGGCTCTCTGCAGCGTCGGCTGCAAGGTCTAACACAGGATTCTATCGTCCCCTATGGGCCACCGTCAATCTTGACGTATTTAGGGGACTTTGGGTTTAAGGGTTTGGGGTTTAAGGTTGAGGGCTTGCGGGCTCAGGACTTAGGGTTTTAAGGGCTTGGGTTGAAGGTTTACAGATCATATCAACTCCAAAAGAAAAACCCCGCGAGGAAAGGGCAAGCATTGAACCGATAGCGAGCAGTGATGGCATTGGCTCACTTGCATCGACAGATAAAGCTCGCTGAGGACTTTTGGAATTGAGACAGGCCTAAACATAGGGGCCTTAATAATTAGAATAGGGTCTTGGGGCTCATGATACCAAAATTATCATGAGGAACTCCCAACACAGTATAGGTAATTATTGAGGCCCGCATCGTAGTCTTTAGAAGTGAGCTCTAAGCCCCGAACCCCCAACCACACTGATCAACTCCTGTCCTGTCTTCAAGGATCATGACACAAGAATCAGGGTTTAGGGTTTAGGGCTTTTCGGGTTTTGGGGTTTAGGCGGTTTAGGCTTTAGGCTTAGGGTTTGGGGAATCCTTCCCGTGATACCTCTAAAGGGAAGTTGCTCTCTACGCAATCTGGCCTTGTTCACCGTGTGTCGGCATGGTCTGGAATGCCGCGCAAAAAGGAACTGTATACGACAGACCGACGCCTGTGGACGGGACGCGAGACACGAGTGGGACATGCATTGTGACATCGACGCTGACCTCTACGGCAAACGATCTGATAAAGAGACCCGTACCACTGTAGGAGAAGGAGAAAGAGAGAAAGAGAGGAGAAAGAGGAGCGCACCACTGACGTAAAGGAGGTATGAGAGAGTGAAAGAGGAGAGAGAGAGTGAGAGAATAATAGGGAGAAAGGTAAAGAACACGTGGAGCACAAGCACAAAACAAGGAAACTCACAATCAGACAGACAATGAGGAATAGGGACCGGACAGAGTAGGAGATCGGGAACAGCCTGCTGCGACAGCGTGGACCCAAGGACAATACACTTGGGAAGGAGATGATCATGAAGGGAGTCAGCAATGTATGCTGCGTCTTACATGTGCACTTCCCCAATCTCAGACTTCCGTTACGGTGGGAAGGCCAGCTGCAGGATATTACACGATAGACCTAAAGACACGCGATGCCTCCACAGGCGCACTTAACGCATGTAAGCATAGTGAGTCAGGCTGGTTATGAAAGACAGAGCAATGCAGTGGCGGCACGAACAAGAAAACAGGAAGCAAAAGCTTGCGAAAGCGAAACAGAAGAGCACAGGGTTAGTAGGCCCAGAGTGACAGAGCTCGGCTTGAATCGACTCATCGCACGGCGTCCTTCTTGGCTTCGTCCAGGTGAAGCCGCCGCCAGTCCGGCTTTTTCGCCGGCTGGCCCTCCAGAGGCGGCTCCACCAGGCGAGGGAAGGCACGGAGTGCCCCCATCACCGTTTTGGAAGACGGAACAACACCTCTCCCCAGCATGCAACCAGGGTGTCCTTGTCCGAGAACTTCTGCTGTACCGAAGGACCACTCTTTCCCCAGGACTACAAGGATTCTAGCTAAGAAAAGCATCAGATGGCACCGCTTCTTCCACACGCGGCACAAGGCGATGAGTTCATCAATATCATACTTTTTCGGTGCATCCATCGCCTGAGCACGGATGCAGCGTAACAGATTTTCAGAGATCTCTACCCCTTCAGCGACTGTAACTGCCCCTAACATCCCTTGGTTTGCCAACACCATCCTTGTGAGCAAGCGCAATCAACTTGAGCGCGGTGGGTAGATGTTCCTGGACCCTCGCGTCATCGCCTGCACACGATTCAAGCTAAGAGTTTCGGAGCGGAACGAAGTCCACAATACAGGTACTACCAGGAAGCACACGCGTGCTTGTAGCCATGCATGCATAGGCGCACGGCCCATCAACATGGCGTCGATGACACGACTGGCGGCCCGTTCAGCCAGTCTGCATGCGATGCCGCGAAGCTTGGGGGTCTTCATCTCGAGAAAGAATTTGATGTATTCATTGCCTCAACGTCACCATCTCAGAACGAAATCAAAGACACGAATGGCGTCTTAGGTGCGTAACACAAAGTAGCGACCACAGAGATATGTAGTCGCCTGAAGTCAAAGCTAGGTGTCCCCTCGATTCCACATCCGCATGCTCGAAGCCAGCTTGCGATTCTGGATCTCACTTAGGACTTCGGCCTCCATAGCCTGGGACACCAGGACACCAGACCGAAGTATGCAAATACATTGCTGCGCAGTGTGTCAACCTCGATCAAGCCTCGTAGTCCTGCGCATCCACGTACGGGGCGGTGTCCTGGATCAGCCGGACCAGAGCAGCCAAGAAGCAGACCTTGACAACTCGGCAGAGGCAATGGCTTGGTGTAGTTTGTCCGGGCTCTACAAGCCGGATCGCAGAACTGGGCTCGATGCGAAATTCAAGTCTCCGTCGAGATCTCCGTCAGCCCACTTCTTGCTGACGTCGCCCCATTTGCTCAACACCATTGCGTTGCCTGGGAAGATGTCTGCAGCCTACGGGCTCCTACGCGGCAGCGTACGCGTAGAACCCAGCTAGCACCTGCAAACGAGACTCGTGGAAGCGCCATCCCTGCCGGTGGCTGCTTGGCCTGCAGAATGCCGATGTCGGCTGGGCCATGACTCGGGTATCGCCAAACCTGATAACAAAGTAACGGTGTCACGACGGACAAAAACAAGTATCCTAGCCACAACAAGCGTGCTTTATCGGTAGTAGCCCGCGCTAAGTGAGAGCAAGGCACGGCAACAGGCCCGATGTACGCCTTGTTGCCCTTGATGATGTAGCACTCATCGGGCTGAAGCGTCCCGGTGATGTCGGCCGACGCGTAAAGTGCGGCCGACTCTGCTGGCCTTGGCAGGATAACTGCTAGGAACTCACTTTGTCGATTTGTTCCAGGTAAACTGAGACGGCTGCAATTGCAGCTGGCCCTTCTTGTTCTGCCGAACCCGGAGGTTCGTGTACCGCGAAAGGCCCAGCTGCAGGGCCGTCTTGGTCCTGCTATTTGAGAAAGCGAAGCACAGTACGGAATAGTCTCGGCGTGCCAACAGTTTGCAAGAACAGAATTCAGAGTAACGACATCCGGTACTAACTGTCGGCATTCACTCCATGTGTCGGTGGTTGTCCAACGTTTTTCACACAGCGACATCCTGTCGGATGCGGAGCAACGAAAACTCGATTCGTGTCGCCCCCTGTAACGTGAGAAGCCTGTTTGCCTTCGACTCCCTCAGCCTCCTGGCAATCCCGACAGAACCACGACATGCTGCAGTCCAAAACCCGACATCCTCTAGCCAGAATCCCCGGGTCCACTCCAGAATCCCCGGGTCCTCTACCCCTAGTCCCATGGAGTACTCACAGAGATTATTCTAAACCAGCTAAACCCTGAACCCCTTTTCCCAAGGCCCTCAACGCTGAACCTAAACCGCAAAACCCTCAACCCTAATCCCTAATAGTACTTGGAGGGTCGGGGGACTTAGTAAGTAGACTTATAGTTTCCCTGAAAGGAACCCTAATTGGGGTTATGGTACTTATAAGTCCTTAAAAATAAACCAGCTGCTAAGTCCCCCGACCCTCCAAGTACCCTTATCGATCCCTTATAGGAAATGGGAACTTGCAGAACTTATAGTTCCTTTCAAGGAGCCCTGATACCCTAAACCCTAAACCCTATTAGAAACCCTAAACCCTAAACCCTAAACCCTAAACCCCAAACCCCAAACCCTAAACTGACGAGCAGCTTCTGCGCATAGTGTTCCGGATGCCGCTCCACATGTGCGATCAGGTCCTCTACGCTTAGTGTGTAGGCTTTAGGGTTTAGGGTTTAGGGTTTATAATAGGGTTTAGGGGTTTAGGGTTTAGGGTTTATAATACGGTTTAGGGGTTTAGGGTTTAGGGTTTATAATAGGGTTTACGGGTCTAGGGTTTAGGGTTTATAATAGGGTTTAGGGGTTCAGGGTTTAGGGTTTATAATAGGGTTTAGGGGTTTAGGGTTTATAATAGGGTTTAGGGGTCTAGGGTTTAGGGTTTATAATAGGGTTTAAGGGTTTAGGGTTTAGGGTTTATAATAGGGTTTAGGGGTTTAGGGTTTAGGGTTTATAATAGGGTTTAGGGGTCTAGGGTTTAGGGTTTATAATAGGGTTTAGGGGTTGTTTTTTTTTTGACCTATGTTGACCGTCGGACCTTTTTCCAGCAGCCTGCCCGAGCTTGGGCCCATAGAGGTGAAACTTACATCGTAGAACGATCAGGTACTTCGCGGCTTCCTTCACCATGTAGCAATCGAGCATTATCAGGAGGACGTAGAACAGAGGGATCACCGCCAGCAGGAGGAATAGCAGGCATCAACGATGCTTGCGAAGCTGCCCCCATAGTGTTCGTAGTAGGCTCCGATGTCACCCCAGTAGGTTCAGACTCCCCAGCGTCAATAGAAGTTTCTACAGCCAGAGTTTCCACATTTCCAACTTGGTCACCCCCAAGTTGTCCAAGCAGAATTCCATAGAGTCTTCGATCGCGTTCACCAACAGATAGTCTCCGAGACCTGTGAGCCTGTGCAATGTGATCCCAAGTGTCTTGTATGGTCCACTCACGTGCAGGCAGAGTCAAGGATGTTCCAGGTGACCGTGCGTACGGTCCCACATTCTCCCTCCACGGTGGCCGTGGCTGACTGGGAAGCAGGTTGGCCCTCTGCAAGAGAGTGGTCATTCTCGATGTCACCAGCTCAGCTGTCCTCCTGATGATCATCTCATCCCGACTCGTCAAGGTACGTCCAGAGGTAACCACCCCAACCACATCAGGGGTCGCCACAGGAAAAGGCTGTGCATCATCGTCCTCCTCAGGTAACACCGTAGTGGACGTGGTGGTATGCCCCAAGGTAACTCACCAGCCGGGTGCCAGAACGTCATGCGCTCGGAACAGCTCACGCAGATCGGGTGCGCATTCGAGCACGCAGTCAGCACCACCGCCTCGCGACGCGGGTTGAAGCACACAGGACACATGATGTATCGCCCGGCGCGTTGCACGATTTCATCCCGCAGTGCGTTGCGCTCCGCCTCGCGCTGTTCGCCCGTCATGTTCTCCACCGCGCCAGGCGCGACGTTCCGCCACTGGGCCCCGTCCGTGTGCAACTGCCGCAGCGCCTCGTAGGCTGCATACAAATCGTGGAGCGCCTGCGCCGTCATCTCCTGCACGTTCGTGGCGTGGGCGACGAGGTCGTACGCCTCCGTGAGTCGCTCGGTGCGACGCTCGTTGCTCTGAGCGAGTGTCAACACCGTGTCGCGCGCGCGGTATCCATCCTGCTCGGCGTAGACGAACCGCGGCGCCTCCTCGTGCTCATCCGCGCGCATGAAGTGCCGGCGCTGCGCCGCGTGGCGCTCGACAATTGTGTCGGCCATGCGATTGGGTCGCAGCACTTCGCGGTGCTCGCCGGCGGCCGGCCCGCCCGGCGGCGGGTCGATGCGCATGCCAAACGTCGGGCGCCCGCGTCTCGGGCAACACCGTGCGCAGGAGGGATCTGAGCGCGCCAGATCCCTCACCTTGAGAAGCCAAGACCGATCCGATGTAGCTGCGCCAGACGCTTCTCAGATCGCGTCCGGCGTACAGCATCCATCCGTGGTTGAGCTCCACGCCGTCGATCTGGCTTATCGTGCGGAATGCCGCCCAGACGGCGCTGCCGCGCGGTAGCGCGCGTATGCCAACAGCGACGCGGTCCATCCGCTCCGCGTCGGTCTCGCCATACACCATCGCGCCACCCGTCTCCGCCAGCGCCTCAGCGACCAGTCCGCCGACGCACTCTAAAAAGAATGCGCAGCGGTACACAGTATTGACACACTGTCGCCTTACGTACGGCCGCGCGTTCCGTAGCGAGAACAACGCCTCGTAACGTACGATGCTGGCGAGGGCCGTGCGTCCGCGTACGTACAGCGCCTGCGAGCGCTCGCGTAGCGTGCGCAGCATGCTGTCCTCGAGCGGCAGCGCATGGGACTGTGGCGCCGACAGCGCGGCAAGCGGGTCAGTGCCGCTCACGGGCGTCCTCAACGCGTTCGCCATCTGGCTTGCAGCGCCGGCGAGTCCTGTGAGCAGCGCCGCGGCATTTGAGCGCACTGTGTGCACGGCCGTCCTCGCGCGATTCGCAGCGTTGGCGAGGCGCAGATCCTCCGCGTCGAGCGCGCCGATCGAGCCCGCCGCATCGTCCGCGCTCAGATCCGTGGCGGCAGCGTTCAGCAGCGCCGCGTATCCTCGTCATGTGCTGCGTGTCGCGCGAGAACGCGCTGACGGCATTGTTGATCTCACGCTGGGTGCGCTGCTTAGCCTGCTCGCTGTCAGACAGTGCCTGCAGTGTCGGCGTGATCCCCATGCCCGACGTCGCAAGCAGCTCCTGCTCGAGGAGGTATGCGCGCAGTTTCGTGTGCTTGGCGAGTATAGTACACGGCATGCCCGCGTCGCGCGCGCGGCGTCCCGATCGTCAGGGTCAGCGTTCTGCGCCGGTCGCATGAGCGCAGCGGTGCCGTTGCCATGAGCGAGCCGCTCGAAGCCGGGCGGTGTCGCCTGCGACGGTGCAATATTCAGCGCGCCGCCCGCGTTGCGCACCAGCGCCATGTCGACGGTTGCCATGGCTGCCTGTCCCAGAAAGCGCGTCGTGCCCCCGTCGGCCATGTTCAGCTCCAGACTCTGCTGCAGGCGGGTGCGTAGATCGCTCAGGTTCGGTGCGGCGTCGCGTGCGGCCCGTTCCGCCGAATTCGCCACGCCCACCGCGACCACGTCGGCGGTGCGTTTCAACAGCAACACGACGCGTCCGGCCAGCTCCTCCATGGTCCGCGCGACGTCGTCGTCGCCGTCACCCAACTCGCGCAAGATCTCGTTTTTCCTGGCCACGAGTTCGTCGAGGCCGCCACGGAACGCCGCGATCGAGGCGAAATCAACGGTACTTACCGTCTGCATGCGCTCAGAATCGCCATCGGCCAAGCTCCACGCGTGGCGCACTTGCTCACGCAGGTCGTGGTCGGCGGCCCGTCGCGCGGCGTCCGGTTGCATGGCGGCGTGTTGCGCGCGCGCGCCCTCCCGTCGGCGCGTGGCAGGTGCAAACCCCCAGCGTGCACGTCGTAAACAAAAACAGAGAGCGGTCGGGGACGTGCACGCGCAAAGACAGCCGGGGCTCAGGCGCAAAAGAGGCGCTTGAGCCAAAATGGCTACGGTTTAGGGGTTTAAAGGGTTTAGGGTTTATAATAGGGTTTAGGGGTTTAGGGTTTAGGGTTTATGATAGGGTTTAGGGGTTTAGGGTTTAGGGTTTATAATAGGGTTTAGGGGTTTAGGGTTTAGGGTTTATAATAGGGTTTAGGGGTTAGGGTTTAGGGTTTATAATAGGGTTTAGGGGTCTCGGGTTTAGGGTTTATAATAGGGTTTAGGGGTTTAGGGTTTAGGTTTATAATAGGGTTTAGGGGTCTAGGGTTTAGGGTTTATAATAGGGTTTAGGGGTTTAGGGTTTAGGGTTTATAATAGGGTTTAGGGGTTTAGGGTTTAGGGTTTATAATAGGGTTTAGGGGTTTAGGGTTTAGGGTTTATAATAGGGTTTAGGGGTCTAGGGTTTAGGGTTTATAATAGGGTTTAGGGGTTTAGGGTTTAGGGTTTATAATAGGGTTTAGGGGTTTAGGGTTTAGGGTTTATAATAGGGTTTAGGGGTTTAGGGTTTAGGGTTTATAATAGGGTTTAGGGGTTAGGGTTTAGGGTTTATAATAGGGTTTAGGGGTTTAGGGTTTAGGGTTTATAATAGGGTTTAGGGGTTTAGGGTTTAGGGTTTATAATAGGGTTTAGGGGTTTAGGGTTTAGGGTTTATAATAGGGTTTAGGGGTTTAGGGTTTAGGGTTTATAATAGGGTTTAGGGGTCTAGGGTTTAGGGTTTATAATAGGGTTTAGGGGTTTAGGGTTTAGGGTTTATAATAGGGTTTAGGGGTTTAGGGTTTAGGGTTTATAATAGGGTTTAGGGGTTTAGGGTTTAGGGTTTATAATAGGGTTTAGGGGTTTAGGGTTTAGGGGTTTAGAGCCCAGGGTGAAGGGTTTAGGAATCCTCGGGTCTCCACTTTTCAGGGCTGTGGGAACCTGAAAGAACCCGGTGAGACGCATACAACCTTCAGGGACTTTCTCTGGGATCTAGAATTTCGGGGTTTTTTGAGTGGATGGCAGAACTCAAAGAGTGCACTCACGCAGCATGCAAGTCCCTCACCAGCAGATGCTCTGCATCCACTCATGTGGCAAATCCTGGAGACAGTCTTCATCAACAGGTTTGCCATCACGCAACGGACACAAAATGTAGCGTCGCCCTCCACACATGGCGAGCCAGTGATTTGTCCGAAAACAAGCGGCGCTCAGCGCTCGCTCAAAATCTGACAACCAAATCAAGACCCGAATGAGGTCCTGCAATTTGGCAGCCCAGGTAACTACAGCTACAGGCAGGTCTTCTTCGTGCAGGTCTAAAAATGCCTTTCTCTCGACAATGCCTTGGATGGTGCTCTGCAACACATCCGGCTTGGAGTGGTAGCTGTGGTGGAGCTTGGTCAAAAGGCTTGACCAGCAGGTTTCTGGAGTCGGAGCGGTAGGCGGAGCCGGTGGCGGCCGAAGGGTGGCCCACCAAGGCTGTGGTCCCGCAGCTCGCATGGCAGGACGCCAAGCTCGGTGTTTGCCCTGTATAACTACGCCTGGATCGACATCAGCAGCTTCCAAAGTGCTGATGCATTGCTCCGAACGGCGCAGGTGATCCCTGAGCCTGGAGGTGGTCCAGTACTCTACTTGACAGACCTGACAGAGGCTGCCAAATGCCACAGCTGTGGCTCTGGCTCGCCGTTGGTGCACTTTGCTCTGGTGGGCTGCACAGGCAGCAGCTGTCGCAAAGGAACGGCAGCATGTCGGACACGTGTGGAGTGCCATCGGCATGGTGGACCGCTCCGGCACGTGACCAAATATGCAACCAATTGCTTGGGCTGTCTGAAGAGCCCGGAGCTGTTTCAATCGGGCAGGCCTGAGTGAGAGACGCTGACGTTTGCATCCGCGAAGGTAGCTCCTGATGATTTGCGAGGCAAGCTCAGGCTGAGCCTCCAATTCAGCTTGTAGCGCCTCCGGAGTCTTTTTCAAAGCTGTCGCAACAGCACAGTACGCGGCCTGCAGGTCCCGGAACCATTTGCCTTCTCGGAACCAGAGCTGGCTAAGTTCCGGGCGCCTCTCCGCATGTATCCAGGCAGCAACCCGGATCATCTCTGAGTAGCGCATCTCCTCATCTGTAGCGAGACCAAGGATGGTCGCCACATCATGATTGGTCAGGCCTCGTACCGACATCTGTGTGATCGCTCGAAAAAGCCTGCGCGGAACTTCAAAATAGGCAGCCGTAAATTTCTCCTGCTCCTTTTTTGTGGCGAGGGTCCAAAAGCCGGCTCCATGTTTGAACCTTGCCATCGGCATGGTCTGAAGCAGGTGTATCTTTTCGGCCTCGGTGAGAGCCGTATTCCGGAAGAGACGGCTCAGTGGACCCGCCATCTCACGGGCTAAGGCAGCCCTTCGCTGCAGGTCAGCGATGTCCGTGAGGCTTGCATCCACGCTGGACCCCAGGTGGATGTACTCTTCAGCAATGCCGACGAGCACCTGGGTCTCATCTTCCAGAGTGACAGCAAAGCGAGCGCCCATTTCACACAACCACTTCCGACGCGCAGCGGCACTTCCGGCTCCCCGAAAGAGGGGGATCAGCTCGGTTTTGCCAGGATCCAAGTTAAGCTGTATACCTAGCTTCTTGAACTCACTGTCAAGTTTTCTTACCGCAAAAGCAGCTAATTCCATAAGATGCTCCGGCGTTGGAGCAACCAGAGGAACCGTAAGGTCATCAACCCAACTCGGGAACGGGACTTTCAGAAGTTGGTGTTCCTCCGCCTGTTGTGCGGCCGCAAACTCAACCTCGTGGCTCACCTGCCGAACACAGGTCTCCAACTTCTTCATCGCCTGTGAGAAGATGATTTGGAATTGGATGTCTGCGACCGGTGAGCCTGGAGCCGTGCCAGTCCTAGTGCGGAAGAAGTGATTGGCATGGTGCCCTGTTACACTAAACCACGTAGCGTCCAGCATCGCGCAGATGACCCTTCGGACTGGCAAAGGCACATGCTGTTGCTGCAACAATCCTGGCCCTACGGCTTGCGCGATGAATGCCAACTGGTCCTCTTGTTCTGTGAACAGCGTTTCAGCCAAGTTCTGAAGGAAGGCTGCAGTGTGGTTGCCTTCATCGCCTGTGAGTAGCTGTCTAGCCGTGGCGTAAAACGCAGAGCGGCAATCAACGAAGAGAAGAGCACAATTAAGACCGGCATCCCGCGCTTGTTGAGCGAAGCCTCGGGCGAGTGCCATAGGGATCTGGAGTGGATTTTTGGGTCGTCCTCCACATTGTCCCGGCGCCCGTATGGCTTCCAGACAGGCAACAAGCGGTGCTCGTAGCATCTTACATACGCCCTTCATCGATGCCTCATGTAATAGAATACTTCTCCATCCTGCGAGGTCGTGAGGAGATTTGGTAGGTTTAGGGATGGGGCAAGCCCTACCGCCTCGCCACAGACTAGGAGCAATGCCCCTGGTCTGTACCTTCAAAAGGATGGGGAAGTGTGCTTTGGCAGCACCGACGGCATCGCCACAATAGGCTTCCGGAGGCAGACCCGAAACCCCTGCCGCTTTTCGCGGCTGAAGCTTTCCATAGCCAGCTGCCAATGCAGCCAGGCTCAGTGCAGGTACTGCCTCAACTGGCAGCGGAGCCTGGTAGGGGCAATCGGCGGTAATGTCGCTCGCTCGGCAGCTGAGGGCACGCTCAGCTTGGGCAAAGTGACGTCCTAGCATGAGGAAGGAGTCTCCATCATGCAGTTGGGATCCTTCAAGACAGGGGCAGAGTCGAGGAGGTTTGTATCTGCGTCCTGTTTTAAGGACCTGGCGAAAGGCCTGATAAAGCTGTTCAGGGCCCTGTTGCCGGGCATCCTTGATGAGCTCCCTGGAGGCAGAAGTGGCATCGGCCTTGGTGCAGCGGCGAATGAGTGCCGAGAGATCCCTAAGCTGCGTAGCCAGCAGGCCTTCGTGTAAGAGGGCTGTGCTTGAAAATTCCACCGCGGGGCGTCTGGCCCAAGCTCGAAAAGTGGTAGCAAGCAAAGCTCGCGAACGTTCCTTTCGAGCAGCGAACAATTCTCTGCGCAGGTCCCGCCGGTCTTGCACAAGGAGCCATGTGTCTGGCTTTAATCGGGGACTTCGGCTTGTTAGCCTGCGAAGGGAAAGCGCGGCTGAGTGCCCGGTGGAGGTAATCATTGACCTTGCTGAGGTGTGTATCCACATCGAGATGCCATGGAAAGCTGGGCATAGCATCATAGATTTGCCTGAGCCTAGCCTTGCCCTCTGGTGTGGACATGGCCCGAGTGTCCCAGCGAGCCTGAGCTTTTCTCCGGCGAGCCGCCCTACAAAAGTGCAGAGTTGCAGCCACAGGCTGGTGGTCGATCTCAGAGACACCTTGGAAGTTTGTCAGGCATCCTGTGGGAATGAGCCCTTGCCCTTGCCGTAGAAATGCTGGACACGCAATGAAGTCCAGACAATGCTCCTGGGCCATGGGCCCTGTCCAACTGATTACCTTTCTGCCATCCCGCAGCATGGTAGGGGTGGCGACCATTTGCTGATTCTGCAGGAGTCTCGCAAAAGCGCGTGCATTTCCATTACGCGCATTGTCCATGCATGGATCTTGCTTATCCCACAGGAAGTGCGCGTTCGCGTCTATAAAAAGCAGCGGTATGTGGTTGGATGGAGCCCTCCTAAAGGCGGCTTGGACATCTGCCCACCAAGCTTCACGTTCTTGCTCTGGCGCTTTGGAAGTGGGGGCATGGGCAACAATGAATGCAAAGCTCAATGAAGCTGCCCGCGCCGCGGCGACCATGCATCTCGGGCTGGCCCAAATGAGTGCAAGGCTGTGTGGGTCCCATTGCACAGCTCCTGTGTTATCCTTGCCAACAGCAGCATGTTTAGACAACCACACCTGACAT